TAAACACTCAAACCTGTCACATAAAGGGGTAGGCAGAGACTACGAACTTTCATTTGGCACGTTCCTGACACACCTCTCTCGCCTCCTTTACATCCTTATATCTACGCACACATGCTCGTCAATTAAGGGTACTCCAAATTACCAAATCAGTCATTTAGATTCAAAAGATTCACCTATTGTGAGTATTTTATATTTATCACGAATTCGGAAAATACCTCTGCTCCAAAATGATTTTTAAATATTTGGAAATAAAATTTAAATATTTTTCAAAATATCCAGTCTGGATGTTCCGATGTTTTAAAAGGAATTGAAATCAATCTTAAAATAGTTAAGTAGAACAAAAATTAAGTTTCTGTTCAACAGGCCAGACTTAAATGTCTATAACTATAAAGTTTGGAAGTATCGGTCTAAGAAATCTTTTCAGCGTTGCTTTGCCTGTCTTCCTTGCTTCCATGCATGTGCTAGTAATTTATGTAACAACATTTTGAATAGTAAAGTAAACAAATATTTTGCCGCGAAGGCAAGGCCGATATAGAAAGAACTCAATCCCATCGAGAATGTTACGCTGGACGTTAACGAACAAAAACGTTGGGATATTTTGTAGGGGAGTGGGCAGAAGGATTGTTTCATAATCGTGTGACGGCTCCATGGCGCAGTGCCGCATTGAGTTGCGGCGCTGAGGACTGCGGGTTCAAATCCCGCACGGAACAAGCATTTGTGTGACCTGCAGACAACTGTTTTAGATCTTCGTGCAATTTATGTATGTAAACTACCTCCACGATACAGAAGAAAAGAGGGAAAGAGGCCTAATATTGTATACTACTCGCGAAGACACTTTAGCGTTACTTATTACTTCAGAGGTTAGGAGCCCAGGTGTCATCAACGGCGACAGTACAGAATTAGGGGTCTATGGGGTCTCTGTGTGGTGATTCTAAAGGAACGGTAACCGCCACTTGTTGTAGTTGTTGGTGTCAAGACCACTGGCTCTCAGCCCGTTATTGTGGGGAGTAGGGCTCTGATTAACCTCTCAAACAGCAAGCGTCCAAATTTGACCGCTTCGATATTCCGTCAAAATTCAAGAGGTGAAATGTGACCGCACTCACCCACAGCACTTTAACCCATAAATACTTATGTTTAGAGACTATTTTCTATGAAGATGTTTGTCATTATAGAATCAATATTTTTCTTTGTTAGTATATCTGGTATATACTATATATAGTAGTAGTAGTACTATGTATAGTTAATATATATATATATATATATATATATATATATATATTTATATATATTAGTGTTCAGCAGTTATTGAATACCGCTCTCACAGAATACCAGCGTAAAATAGCAGCTTGATGCTTTTTATACGGTGACTGTAGGGAACCGGAGAAAGGATTACCGGAAACGAGGCATTTCATCTTAGTCCTAAGGAATGACGACGCATCTGCATTTTGATACTTAGTCGAGGATAAATGTAAATGTCTAAGATGTACTGTGTGCTTCCTTGTATTCTAAAATAAAATAATTAATGATTGTCTTGACCTTGTTCTCCATCTAAAGCTGGCGCTGCTACGTCCACATTTCACTCACCAGACGTAAAATGAATTTGAAATAAAAAAGTGCTATAAATTTCAGTCTCCTTAATGTGAACAAATTCATTAGTAAGACCTTGTTCCCGATAAATAAAGGACGCTATAAATCTACGTCTAGTGCCACAACCGGAAGTAGTTCGTTTTTGTCAAAACGTCTACATGAAATACAACAGATACAACAGCTGATATTGTAACCGGATTATTAGTACATATAAATAAAATTATAGTGTATTTTTATTTGTACAGGGTGGGGTGATAAACGAGCATATAGTCCACCCGATGATAAATTATGGTAAGTGGATGTTGTGGTCCATTGAAATCTACATATATCTTCGATTAAGAATCAAAATTCAGATGCGTGGTCACCTCTGAGGACTACGATGGAATGCCTCGTCCACAGTAAAAAGGATCTCCGGTTCTCTTTACCACCATACGAAACACAGCAGCATAAAGCTGCCATTTTACGATGGTATTCTGTGAGACCGCGGTCCTTCCCCGGTCGAGCTGACCCATTCGTGCCACAACCACAACGTAACTGCAGCGTGGCTCTAGCATTTTTTTTTGCGCCCGAAGCAAATATGGGGTTGCCCATAAAGTCCGGAAAGCGGGGGAGGGAGGTGGGGAATGCCCATATCATACCACGCAGCTAGCAGCGTGGTTATGTGGAGACTTTTACCCACTAAACCCCACCTTTAGGGATTGGCTTACCGATCTGACGAGAGATCGCTAAGCCGTATACGGACGCGACCCTCCTTGGCAGAAAGGAGGGCGCAAGCAGCGAAAAGCCGCTTAGAGTGTGCCTAACTAAGGCAGATTAAGGGATGTGTTAATTAGGCTCGGCCTGAGCTGCCAGGAGGCAGGTCAGGTCAGCCGAAAGTTTGTTGGGGGGGGGGGAGCTCTACCATTTAAATATCATCTTCTATGCTTTAAACATATTCATGTCTGTCCTTAATATGCTTTAATTTTTAACTGCCTTTTATCAAGATTAGGGCGTTACTTGCATGCCACTAAGACATGAATAACCATTATTGAAAATTGTGTCCGTCTGTCTGTCTGTCCGGTCTAATATTCGGAGGGGCTGAACAGATTGTAAAAAAAACACGGACCTTTAAATAAAAAAACATGCGTGCAGCTCACACGCGACAGAAGTGAAATCTTCAAATGAAATTAAATATTAAGTACATATACTTTACGACAAATGATTTATTTAATATTATAATTTAAACTACAATTTCCACATAAAATATAAGGGAATTTGATTTTATAGTAAAAAAATGCAACAATCCTTTTTAAATATTATATATTAGACACATAGATATTATATTTTATTTCGAGTAAAATTTTAATAGTGCCACCTACTCCATTCTTTAGGTAGTCACTTTATCGAACCACTGATTGACGCCCAAGGTGGTACGTAAACTAGAGTTTTTTTTTCAATATGGTTAATTGTATTTGTTAATTTTTTTCTTGATTACTGCCGCTGCCACGTGGCTGCCATTTCTATACGAAAATCATAGATTATGAAAAGTGAACCATACAGATGGGAAACACACGAAACTACCTAATGCCGGTTTTGATGGTTCTTTTTAAATTTAAATTAGCATTACTTGGACCGATTTATTTTATTACTTATTTCATTTGAACTACATATTTCAATCCGACCATGTTTAAAATATCTGAAGAAGTCTTCGACATTGTTAATGTACTTTTAAAAGTACGGGAATGCCACTATGTTTGCGACGAGTGGATTAATTTCCCTTAGAATGTTTATATTCTTTTCGATGTACCTTATATAGTACCCATTAATTACAAAAAGATTTATATCAATTTTAACTATTACGAAGTTGAGGTTTGGCCGTTCTTCACTGCTTGTTTATTCCATAGACACACGACACCTTCGTACCTTGTTGAACAAAACGCGTAAGCGACGCCGTTTCAGCGGCGTTTACGATTTTTTTCTCGCGAGCATTGAGTTAATCTCATTTTATCTCACATTAAATCTTATGGATTTATGTGTCGGTCTCTTTTTACTGTCGCTTTTTCGTTTCATAGACTTTGGATGCTAAAGAAGTTTACACAGCAAAAAAAAAGAAAACTACTAAAAATTGGTATTTTAAATTCTCTTGAATTTAAATAAGGGTCGCTAGTTCCAAATACAGATCAGTGAGCGTGAAGACATTACAAACTTGTATATCAATAGTGTTTGATAATTATATTATTGATTTCTTTGACTACCAATATTTTATTACTATGTGGGTCCTTCTGTATTTTTTTTTATTTCTACTAAAATTTTTTACAGTTTCGTTAAATTCTAACGAAACTAAATTCCACCTGATGATAAGAGGCTATTTCGGTCTATGGACACATGCAACGTCTATTAAAGACGCCTAAAAATGCACTATCACCTCTGAGAATAAAGACAGAATGACTCACAGCATGTAGTTACACATGTTTTCTATATTTACTTTTGTAATTATACTGGCCGTTTGTCTCTTGTTTAGGCGTGTTTTTTTTTTTTTTTTGATTTTCCACCAAGGAGTATACCGTCCTTGACGGGAATTTATTGACATTTTTACACAATAGGTTACATTAAATGGCTTACACTATATTTTGCAAGCTGTTATTCTCTAAGACAAGATAACTAACATCAATGCGATTTGATACATTGATTAGGTATCAATCCATTTAATATTATCACTATTATAAAATTATTTTTCACTGAATGAAATTATTAATGACAATATAAATTTGTATAATTATTCCCAGTAGCATTACATATTTTAGAAAATTAGAAAGAGTACCGAATTAACAAAAAAAAAAAAAAACCAATAGAAAAAATTACAAAATTAATATAAATATAATACAGGGTATTCTTATGTCTACTGCTTATACTTTAGTCCTTAGCTTATAATTTATTAACATTCATTAAATTTGTGCCTTATTATCAATAATATAATATGAGTCATTAAGTTGTACAGATATGATTAGCAAACGAGCATAGGTAAATGAAAGAGATTTACTTATGTTATATATACAAGAAAGGTGAGAAAATAAGATTTAATTTAAGTAAAATACAAGGTATTCCTATATCTATTGCTTAGGAGTTAGACTATAGCTTATGATTTATTAAGAATGATTAAAGCTAGTGTCTTATAACCAAAATAATGTATGCAACGATTCGTGCGAACGTGATTAGCATATAAAAGAGAAATATAGAGAAGTTGTACATAGCCTTATACAGTTTTTTTTTATTATTATTATTACCAGAGTAATCTTAGATTTACATATTGTATTCTTAAGAACAAAGATAAAGTTTGAAAGGAGGAGTGATAATTATATATGTTAACTTAAATTATAAAAGTTATTAGAAAGTTTATACACAATTTATATCCTATGTATATTAGTTTAAATAATTTACAATTTATTGAATCCTTTAAGCTTATCTATGATGTAATTAATAAATGTAACGAAGGATTCAATAGCACTTTGTTTATTTGAAAGTTCCGTTACACAGTACGGTGATATACGTAGATTGCTACAAAGCATCTCGTGTCTTAGTCTATTGTACTCAAATCTAGGACACTCCCTCAACAAATGAGTTAACGTTTGAGTAGTGGTATTGTCACAGGGGCAGAATGGATCGGCAGCGATTTTGAATCTATGCAGATATTCCTTGTGGTAGCCATGACCTGTTAAAGCCTGCGTTAATTGAAATGATACTTTGGTTGCTTTCCATAGTGCACAAATGTCCGTCAATTTTGGGAGTAATTCTTTTGTGCGCGCTCCTTGTTCCGCGCTTTCATATCTTGTCTGCCAAGTTCTCCAAGTTTTTTCCCTCATAGTCCTTTTTACAAAGCTCATAGGGAACTTCGCGTAGTCAGGAGTTTTGTGTTGTGTGGCAGCGCCTTTGGCTGTCTCATCAGCAATTTCGTTACCTGCGTCGCCCGCATGGCCCTTAACCCATGAGAATATGAAATTAAGATCCACTTGAGCAGCTGTATATATTGTGTCATGAGTCTTTGCCACAATGGGGTGGGTGTTAGATCTCTTTTGGAGTGCTCTCAGTGCCGCCTGAGAGTCACTCAAGATCTGTATAACCTCCTTGAAGCCCATGTGCATCCTTGTGCCCCTTTGGTGTCTTTCGTCTCCTTGCTTCAATCTCCGGTCCAAAGTCCACTCGCAAGCCTCTTTAATCGCCAAGAGTTCCGCTTGGAACACAGAGCAGCTAGTATGTAGTTTCAGCCTCTTTTTTATATATAACTTTTGAACCTTCGAAACAGACGAAAGCCGCTCCCACACCGCCATTCTCGAGCTTGCTTCCATCTGTATAGATTCGAATAGGCGCTGTTTCCTGTTCTAGATTTTCCGAATTCAGGTCTGCACACCCAATACTTATTCTTTTTGACGGATGTAATAACTCATGCACAGGTGTGGGCCTCTCATATTGTATATCCCTTGGTATTAAGTTGGTTGCCCCTTTCAGTCGAACTGTCTCAACTTCATGTACCTCCAGGACCCTGAGGTCCAAGGGCACAAATTGAGCCAGAGCGACCGCTGCCACCGTTGAGACTGTCCTAAAGGCCCTAATTGCCTTTATTGCAAATCCCCTTTGGGCCGACTCCAAGAGCTTCCTTACATATCGTTTTTTCGCCGCTTGACCCCAGATACCTGCTGCGTATGTAATTGTAGGCTCAATGACCTGTCGATAGATGGTTTGCACGTTATCGGGATGGGCTACCCAGGTTGGTCGGGTGTAAATGCATAGTTTGTTGAAAATTCGCATAGCCTTCCCAACAACGTACTTAACATGATCAGCGAACAGAAGCTTTCGGTCAATGATCATGCCTAAGAACTTAATACTCCTTTGAAACGCTAAAGTGTGTCTCCCCATTATAAGGTGTGCTTCTTCAGCCTTACGCGTGAATGCAATGGCTTGCGTCTTAGTGGGTCCAAATGTCAATTTGACACTATGCCCCCATTCCAATATGATTTCCAGAGCGCGATTGGTATTTGTTTGTAGGGTATTTACATCCTTTGCGGAGACGATAAGTAAAACATCATCCGCAAAGGCTTGCAAATGACATCCACTCGGAAGTTCAGCCTCAAGCAACTCGTCCAGTATCACGTTCCATAAAATGGGCCCACACGCTGAACCTTGTATGCAGCCCTTGGTGTTGTTCTTAGTAACCCGCGCTCCTGCGTATTCTAATGTAACTGTGCGGTTCGTCGTATAGCTCTCTATTAAGTGGAAGATGTTCTTGGGGCATCTTATAGCACGTAGTCTCTCGAATAGTGCGGGCCACCACGCGTTGTCAAATGCGGAGCGGATGTCTAAAGAAACGCCCAGCACCTGTTTGCCATTCTTCTTAGCCGCTTTTACGATACTGAGTGCCGTATCTATAGCTGTAATCGTGCTGGTTTGTTCCTTGAAGCCAAACTGTCGCCCGTTGAGTAGTCCCGCTTTGGTTGCGCAATATATGAGACGCTTAATGTATAATTTTTCGAGCAATTTTCCAAAGACTGGCAAGAGTCCTATAGGGCGGAAGGAGCTTAATTCGCTATAATCAGTCTTGCTTGGCTTTGGTATGATTTTAACTTCGGCTCTCTTCCACTGCTGAGGAAAGTGATGGAGCTCTAGACACCTGTTCATGATTCCCGTTATAAGTTCTGGGTAATTAATAGTAAATTGCAGGCAGATGTCAGATGTCAGACCATCAATGCCGGGTGCCTTCTTAGGATTCATCCATTTGAGATGTTCCAAAACCTCCTCGACAGCGAATGGGGGTTCATCTACTCCATCTGGCTCATTCCCGATTCTGGATCTAAGAAACTGGTGTTGGTGCGTGTCATTATCTGGTGTATCATCACCGTAAAAGTGATCCAGGAGTGCTTGGGCCGTTTCCGTTTCGCTGCTGGTGTAATTGTCACCAATTTTTATGGTGGCTGGTGGCCGCTTGGGTGCAGTGTCCTTCAGAAGTCTATTCGTGAGAGTCCAAACGTTTTCTTTTGTTTGTAGTTCGCAGAACTCTTTAAAACTCCTGGAAGACTCCGCCCTCAGTTCCTCCGCATATATTGCCTTTTTATTATTTAATTCCTCTGCTAGTTGATCTAGAGGCAGATTCCGACGTCTCATTCGGTTTAGTCTGTGGTGTAACTGGATGACTTCTTTTTTGAGGTCTGTCAGTTTTTCCGTCCACCATAACGGGCGATGCTTCATCAAGGATCGGCCTTTCTTTGTCGGCATAGATTCTTCACACGCTTTATGAATGATCCCGCAGATGTCATCAATCAATTTCTCCAAGCCAGCTGTGTTCAGCGATCCGATGTCTCTCTCCAATATATCTGTATTGGTCATAAGCGTGTGGAGTGCATCCTTGAATATTCCCCAATTGGCCTTGTTGCTGTTGTACTTAAACGTGGAGTTGGTTATCGATGAGGAGTTTAAGGAAGAATTCTCAGTCGCAATCTCGTATTCCACAGCATTATGCTGCGATGAAGGGCAGGCGTTGAGGTTGACCTTCCACCCGACTACACGGTCAAATATGTGTCCATGGGCCAATGTGAGGTCTATTATAGAAGTCCGATCCCTGCCGTGTGTGACGGTTTCAAAGGTGGGTGAGGTGCCGACATAGCAAACGAAGAGATCATTTGCATGTGCCAGCTCCACTACCGCACATCCTCTAGGGTTATTGGTCTTACTGCCCCATAGATAAGGGCGAGTCCTGACTGCAGATTAACTAGTGCAGGTATCACCTATAAAATTGCGACGACCCTCTCAATGTTTCGATGGTCTAGAGTTATCAGTATAAGGGCCAATACAATACAACGCGATATATTATGTCTTTACGCACAATACAAGTGCGACGGGCTACTTGTTCCATTTGTTTAATACGGTCTATATACGTCCCACTGCTGGGCACAGGCCTGCTCTCATTTCCGAGAAGCTTTAAGGTCAAGGAAGTGTCCGCCGCGCTGCCTGCTGCCGAGAGGGGGCAAACGAGCATATGGCTCACTTGATGGTAAGTGATTACCGCCGCCCATAAACAACTCCAACACCAGGGGAATCGCAGAAGCGTTGCCAGCTTTTAAAAAAGGAGAATGCTCCTTTCTTGAAAGTCCCCTAAGTCGTATCGGTCCCTTCTACAATAAAGAAACCTACTCGAAAAATAAAACGCACTCTTTTCGTGCCGCAAATGGACTTATTACGTTCAAATAACACTAAAGAAGAAACTGTTTTGGATACTACCACTCAAATGACGAAGTTAAATATCTCAAAGCTGCCACCAGATAATGTTAAAAAAACTCTAAAGAGGTATTAAAAAAGAGCAAAATTTTCATATTAGGAGGACAACAATGCATAGGTCTGGCGTCAAAACTGATTTATTCTAGAGCCAACACAAAATTCAAAGATTTTGACGTATTCTCTTGGACAAAACCTCATGCCAAAACAGAAGAAATCCTTAAAGGCTGTTATAACATTGAAGATTCTAACACTAACTACTTTATTCCTTGTGTTGGGGAAAATGACACGAACGTCACAAAGATATTCTTTGAAACAGCTGCTATAATAAAAACACTAAAAAACTCAAACTTTATTATAGCAAACTTAATACTAATTACAATAAATATTTAAATGAATATAAATTTAATAATATGTTAAAAAACTTGTGCTATAACATTCCAAATTGTAATTTTATTGAATGCACAAACAGATCTAGGACGGAATATCACGCAAATATTTGTGCAAAGATTAATCTAAGATTAGACTCTACATATTACGAAAAGAATTTTATTAACAATATTAAAACTATTATTAAAAATCGCAGTAATACATCTGATACGATGCACAGTATGGGAAAATCCCAAGAAATAATTATGTTAGCTAACGAAAGCAAAACAGCTGAACCTAAAATTGGCACCATACCATATTATTTCAAAAAGGTTAATAAATTAAATAAGACCTTAACTGTTGAAAAAAGCACAAACGTAAATGTGTCCACGACTCCATTTTTTGAAAAACATGAAATTGCATCCATACTACATCAAAACATAGCCGGTTTGCTTAACAAAATTGATTCGATAGAACTATGTATTGATGAACTAACAAATGAGGGGCAAGAAATAAAATTTTTTATGTTTTAGTGAAACATTTGTTAAAAAGGGAGATGAGAATAACATTCAGTTTAAAAATTTTAAATTAGCTTCATTATATTGTAGAACAACAGAAAAACGTGGAGGTGTATGTATTTTATTAGAAATTCAATAGAATTTAAAGCTATACAATTATGCTATGAATTATCTGCAGACAAAATTTTTGAGTGTTGCTGAATAGAGGTACCAAGTTACAAATGTGTAATATTTTGTGTATATAGAACTCCCAATTCGCCTGTATTAATATTTTTCTAACATGAAACACATGTTACATTCAAAAAAGTAAAAGTAAAGCTACCTGGGAAATCATTAAAAATTATGAATATAATGATACACGAAATAATAATATTGACTGGATTAATTGTAATGGAACTAAAATAGATCATCCTTTCGTCATTGCCAGTAAATTTAATGAGTATTTTATTAGTACAGCTCTTCACGGCCGTTCTCTTTAAATAATAATACTTAAAGGAATATGCACGAAAATGTTCAATCATCGATCTTTTTAAAACCTTGCTCATTAAATGAAATCATAATTATAATAAATTCTCTTAATAATACTAAATCTGTTGGTTATGATTCTATTACTACACATATACTGAAATCATGTGTGAAGGAATTTGCACCAATTCTGACGTACTTAATAAATCTTTCTTTCATACATGGAAGTTTTCCGGATAAATTAAAAACATCTGTAGTCAAACCCTTATTTAAAAACTATGATCGTCATGAGATTTATAACTATAGGCCGATTACGTTGATACCCATTCTATCCAAAATATTTGAAAAAGCCATGCATAGTCGAATTATTAGTTTTGTTGCAAAATATAATATAATCAGAAACGAACAAAATGGCTTTCAAAAGCATAAATCTACTACACTTGCTACCTTTTCACTGATACGTCGAATAACTGAATGTATTAATAATAGAGTACCAACAGTAGGCATCTTTTTTGATATATCCAAAGCCTTTGACTGTGTAGAACACAGCAAGTTGTTGTACAAATATGAAAAACTAGGAATCAGAGGACCGGCTTTAGAATGGATCGAAAGTTATTTGAAAAATCGGAAACAATGTGTTGAAGTATCACGTATTAATAATAAACTAGAGTTAACATATTACAGATCTCCTTATCTACAAAATGACTATGGGGTACCTCAAGAGAGTGTCTTAGGCCCTTTATTGTTCATTCTAAACATAAACGACTTACCGAGTATAACAAATCATCAGTCAATACTATTTGCTGATGACATATCAATTGTTATACCCCACACTGATAAGTCACACATATATGAACAAGAAATAAATTCTACTATAGTCAGTTATATCATGGCTAGAAGTAATTTACGAGTCAACACTAACAAAACTATATATATTCAATTTGGAAATTATAAAACACAACCACAAAAATTGGACTTAAGATATAAGGACGAAAGATTAGTAGAGGTAGTTGATACACAATTCCTAGGTGTTACTATTGACCGGTATGTAAATTGAAAATTACACGTACAAAAAGTATGCAAAAGAGTTAATCAATTTGTTTATGCATTACGTAAACTTCAAAATGTAGCAGGTCCACAAGCAGCACGTATTGCTTACTACGGGTACGTTGAATCCGTCTTAAGATATGGACCACTCTTGTGGGGCAACACAACTGACGCAAACAAAGCCTTCCTAAGTCAGAAGAAATGTATTCGTGCACTGTGTAATGTAGGCCCTCTTGAAAGCTGTAGACCCCTGTTCAAGGAAAAAAGTATTCTCACTTTAACTGGTTTATATATATTGGAAATCTGTGTTTTCATTAGAAATAATTCTAATCAATTTGTTACTGTGCAAGAAAAAAATAACTCTCTAGCAAAAAGAGATCCGACACGTCTCCTCATGCCATCTTGTAAAACTACATTATTCCAGAGGACTTGCCTCATGATGTGTATCAAGGTTTATAATAAAGTTCCTAAAAATATTCGTGAACAACCATTAAGGCGAATGAAAAAAAGTTTAAAGCAGTGGCTAATAAATACTGCCTTTTATAATATCAAAGAATTCTTTAACCATAAATTTTGATTTTAATTTTATTGATTTTGCTTAACTAAGTTAATTACTATAGATCCAGGATTTTGCGTGATATTTCTCAAATGAACATAAAATAATTTTACTATTTTTGTTATGTTTTCCTAAAAACATAAATATAAATTGTTTATGAAAGAAAAAGAAAATTTATAAAAGTGTTTATTTCTAATTTAATTTTTTTAATTTTAGTTTGTTTTTTAATATATTTATTTTAAACAATTTTTACGCACGCCACAAAAGGCAAAACATGTGGAAACAAATGTTGACTCTATATCCATCCGTCTGTACTCATGTTTTAGCGAAATAAATAAAAAAAGGAAGTTGTATAAGGAAGAGTGGTAGAGCCACGCGGCAGCTTTGTTGTTGCACGGATGGGCCGGCTCAAACCGAGGTAGTACCACGATCTCACAGAATACCGGCATGAACTGGAACTGCTTCCGTGTTTCGTGTGGTGAGTACAGGTGGCCGGAGGCCCAAATCCACCCCCCCACGCCCCATCAACAAGGTAGCGGAATTAAATGTCAAACTATCCCAGGAGGGTACCAGCGCCCCTGGAGAATCCCTCACTGAGCATCCACGACCAAGTTACTTCACTCCTGAGCGTGAATGCTCAGGCTGCCCCGCGTATTCTGGGGCTAACTGAAGTCGAGACTGTTTTATACAAATTCTTGGAATGGGGGCGACTAAATCTAGTCCAGTTTAATCTCCAGAAGACACAACTATGCGCGTTTACCGCTAAAAAGAACCCCTTCGTCGCACCTACTCACCTCAAGGTACTCCCCTTGTCAGCCAGTATCGAAATCCTTGGCGTCGACATATCGAGTGACGTGCAGTTTCGTGGTCACTTGAAAGAGAAGACCAAATTGGCCTCTAAAAAGCTTGACATGCTCAGCAGAGCAGGACAATATGATACTTTTATGGTGTAGGTAGTTGTGAATGCAACACGTGAAACTGTAATCTCTCAAGTTATAATTAAAATAAATACTAATTTTCAAGTGCTAGTAATGAAAAATTAGCTTGAGCTACCTGTCTGTGAGTGTTCACTACTTAATCCAACCACAATTACAACACTTTTTACTTTTATAACCTCTGTCAATTTATCATTATACCATGGACCCTACAATTAAAAAACTCTGTCCAGTTTGATGGAGGTGTTTCATAAAAGGATGAATGATTTTGAAGAAAAATTGTGGAAAACGCTCAGCACATCCACCACCAGCACTTCTATGGTAGCTGAGTTTGCATCTTTCAAGATATTTGTAGGGCAGGCACTAAACAGTCCTCAGCAGTAGATAGAATTACTTGCTTGTAATACTGACAATGTGGAAATACGAAGCCGAAGGAAAATGTTACTGCTTCATGGTGTCTGGAAATTACGACACATCTTGTCGTCAGGTAAAACTGCTGAGCTGAAAACTAAAGTGTACAACCAGTGCGTGTTGCCAGTGATGACTTACGGATCTGAGACGTGGTCCTTCATTGCTCGCCGTATGAGGACGCTCAAGGTCGCTCAGCGGGCTATGGAGAGGGCTATGCTCGGAGTTGCTCTGCGTGATAGAATCAGAAATGAGGATATCCGCAGTAAAACCATAGCCCAGCGGATTAGTAAGCTGAAGTGGCAATGGGCCGGCCATATAGCTCGAAGAACCGATAACCGATGGGGAAGAAAGGTTCTCGAGTGGCATCCTCGTAACGGTAGGCGTAGTGTAGGGCAACCCCCCACTAGATGGAGTGACGACCTGGTAAGACATGCAGAAAGTCGGTGGATGCAGGTGGCTCAGTACCGTGCTTTGTGGCATTACTTGGGGGAGGCCTATGTTCAGCAGTGGACTTGTGAAGGGCTGTAATGATGATGATAGTGATGATTCATGGTGTACCAGATATTGTAAAAGAAGACATCGCTTTGGCTGTCTCCAAGGTTCTGCAAAATCAGTTGAAATTAGACAACGTCTCTATCAGTGATATTAAGCGTTGTCACAGATTGGGTAGACCAACAGCTCCTCACAAGTCTCGGCCAATTTTAGTAAAATTCCTAGATTTAGGGTTGCGTGATAACGTCTGGTACGCAAAATCCCAACTTAAAGGCTCCGGAACCACAGTATCCGAATTTATCACCAAGCTTCGGCACGATCTTTTTGTAGTTGCCTGTGAAAAAGTTGGTATCTCCAAATGCTGAACCAAAGATGGATCTGTATACATTGCGAAACCTGATGGAACCAGACATCGTGTAACCTGTCTAAACGACATCAGTAAAATCGATTGCCAGACAAGCCCAAAACCAGTAACGAAAACTGCAGCTGGGAGGCCCAAAGCGAAACGCTGTTGTGAAGAAGTGTTAAGTGTACAGGATTTGCCATGCCTAAATTTTGGCAATTTTTTTAACGCTTTACAATTACCATAAATATCTTGTGAGACTTATTTATTTGTGAATGTGTTATAAGATAGTGCAATACCCTCTCATCATCATCAATATAGGGAGGCCTGTGCCCAGCAGTGGGACGTATGTAGACTATACCTTATGTTTAGTGCAACTTTTTTTACCATTGAATCTACATGAATAATAAACATAATAATTATTTACTCCACTTTCCATTTATTATACAAAAAAAAAAAAATGTGAAACATTATCATTACTAATTGACAATGCGAAACATTATCATTACTTATTGACAATGTGTAACATTATCTTAAATCTGCTAGGAGTAAAAGTATTGTTGTGACTTTTTTATTTTTATTTAACTGGCTTTACGGCTCTACGTTCCAACCCTTCTGGGCCATTGCTGTGAATACGTTAGTATTCTTATTAGTTTGTGTTGTGAATACTACGTTATACCACAGATAATGTTAACACTAATATCACAATTATAAGGTTAAGTCGCGCTTTAACGACAACGTAATGTTAACAAACGCATTGTCCGTTACGGTGTTTGTTTTGTGAACTTATTGAATTTTTTTCTTTTACTTAAGCCTTGATATTATTAATCCTCTTTTTTATTTTCTATTTAGTATTAAAGTGTTGTAAAGATAATGTACTTAAACTGTATGAATAAAACACTCAACTGGCAGGTGGACACTAAAGTACTTTTTTATTTGTTTTTTTTTGTTTGTTCTTAGTTTTAGGAAATTTATTACCTTATTTCTTATTGTATTTTATTTATTGTACGTTATATTTTTCACATATAAACATTAATAGTTATTTAATAATGTCATATTTAGACTCTAGTAGTGATACTGAAACCTATCTAACTGCAGATAGTGATGATGGTAACGTCCCTAGCTTACAGCCTCTCTCTGAAGTACTAGCTTCACAATTTTCTGATGTTCCCAAAAATTTCAACGTCGTTCACATTAATGCCCAAAGCATTCCGGCTCACTTTTCAAATATGCTGGCTACCTTTGATTCTATGCAGATGTCAGCTATCTTGATCTCACTGAGAAGCAACTTGCTAAACTTGAACATCTTCAAAACTTTTGTATAAGATTCATATTTGGGTTGCGCAAATATGATCACGTATCTTGTTTTCGTAATAAGCTCAAGTGGCTTCCTACCCGTCTTCGCCGGATTGCTCATATTCTGTCACTTTTTTGTTCTGAATTCCTTCACTATTCCCATTCGAAAGTTTTGAGATCATCAGAGAATTTAACATTAAAAATGCCTGCCCATAATAGCAAATTTATGGACTGGTCGTTTAGTATCCAAGCAGTCCGTCTATGGAATGCCCTACATCTGTCAGTGAGACGCGCCCAGTCTTTACCTGTTTTTCAGAAACTTGTACACAGTCACTATCTTAATCGTTGAGTTCGTGCCATCTATATATATAGTATACATTAGTATTTTATTTGTATTTAGGTATTTGTTGTTTATTTCTAATTATATTATATAAAATATGTATATATTTATAAATATTGTTTCTGCATCACCAAACCACACAATTCACTGCGATTTTGCAATTTGCAATTTTGCGATCCTGCCCATCCAAAGGTTGTCGAACCCGGATCGCTCTCGTACTGTGAAATATACAGCAAGCGCTAACCATCTGAGCTATCACGGCTTTTTGTTCCATAATTAAGAAAGAAAAAAGAAGAAAAAGAGGTGGCCTGTAATTTTTTAGTTTCACTTTTTATTTTGTTAAATAAAAAAAGTTCTACTCTAAAAATCTTCGTATAAAACTGTATATATAGATCCTCGGCTTTTCGTTTTCAAATATTTTGCTCCGTCATTTACTTTGTTGTAACATCAGATATACGACGTCTGGACATTATTCTCTAATCATGCTTAAGCTTTGCATTTACATTTCGTAAATCTCTTTTGTTAATATGGTCCACAAAAATGATCTGTTTGGTATACGTTTTATCAAATTTTCTTTTATCTCTTTATGATTCAGTGAACAAATTGTCTTTCCACCACATTATTTCCACATTATTTATCCTTAAAAATGATGATATTTTTATTTTTATAGGATAAAGGCGACAAACGAGCACCTAATCTACCTGATGTTAAGTGGTTGCTGAGGCCCATAGGCATCTAAATCTATCTTCGATTGCGAATCCAATTGACATCGTTATCACCCGTGAGGACTAAGATGGAATGCCTCGTTTCCAGTAAAAAGGGTCTCCGGTTCTCTACACTTACTATACAAAACATAGTGGCGTCAAGTTGCTATTTCACGCCGGTAATCTGTGAGAGCATGGACCTTTCCCGGTCGAGCCGACCCATTCGTGCTACAACTACACCAACTGCAGCATGGCTACCACGCAATATCATCTTAAGTCGAGTTTAAACTTAAGTTATCCCTTTGCCTACATTTCAAGTTCAACATGTTGTATAATGTTATAATGTATAATGTAAACTCTAGAAGCCAAATTGCGAATACACCTACAGATAGCGCGCGAGTTGAATTCAGAGCTCAGGAATGCGATAGTGCTGTGACCTTATTAGAATTAATGATGACAATATGTCGATAAATTTCAACATTGTTTTAAGTTTAACGTTTTAAGTTTAGAAAAAACAAGGTACACACAACACAAGCTACACACAAAATAAAACAGGGTAATAATAATTATTACCTTGTTTTTTTGTTATTAACACACATTTTTTATTATTTTACACATCAAAATCAATAAAAAAATTATAATTCATGCAGCATCAGATTCTGAAACGGAATACTTGGTTGAATCGGTGTCACTATCCTCACCATCGCTGACCTCAAATTTCCGCAAATAAATTGACCGTGCATATGCGACAGCTGGCCTCTCCACCAAAATTCTAAGTTTATTATGACAATTAAGCCATCTATATCCCATGTCTTTTAACAATTTTCTTAAACTCGTCACTCCCCATGGAAACTCGGTTTTTTCTCGAATAGCTGCGAGGAGTTTAATGCAGGTCGGAACAATTTTTTTAGTTAAATAAAATTCTTCAATAATTCTGTGTATAACATCTCGATCAAAATCATCGACGTTTAAATTTGTCTCCTTTTTACACTGTCTTTTCTTTTTAGAAGGCGAACAAAGAGGCCCTTTTTTGGCTTCATTTTGAATTGCAGACAATGCTCTCTTCGAAAGTCCAGTGCAACGGCTTGCGCGATAGTAAGCATTATTTAATGTGAATGTTAAATTGTTGTTCTGCCTATCTTTAACACACATGTCTAGAACATTTTCGCCATTTCCCGTGCTTGGCGATGAATAAAAACTCAATTTTTTGTAACAGAACTTGACGAACACGGATCAGACATCATTAAAAACAAAAATAACACGCGGTTGCAACTTTATATTAACACGATAACACAGTAAGCGTATGATAGTTGCCAAGGACAGCACAGCACTACACTGCAGGCGTGCGAGACGCGGCGTGCGGACGGCGGGGGGAGATGCTCCCACTCTTCACCTCAGGCCCCGACGGCATCAAATCGCGCGCTATCTGTGACTGACTAAGTCGGCCACAACTAGGTGCAGTCGATTCTGGTCGAAAATATGATAATACGTATCATTCTTTTTTAATTATCCAGGATACACCTAACTTTATTCAAAACCAATTTTTAGCCAGTTATACCTTGATATATCCGCGTTTCTGCTTTTAAGTCTAATACATAAATACAATTGTATCTTTACTTTTATGGCAACTTTGTATTATCATTTTAGATCCCTTTTCCAGGTTTCAATATTATTTTATTCTGGTTTCTTAATCATGTCTACCATTAAATTAACTATTTTGAACTATTCCTTGATTTGACAATTCCTCCTCCTCTTTATCGACGATGCAGGTAAATTGTAGTATATCAAAAAATGTTAAACGTTTTTAAGGCATTTGAAGATTTTGAAGTTTGCTATCGCTGATTGATGCAGCGCTATAGTCTCTTTACGGACTAGTGCCCTATCATTTATTATTAGTTAACTACTATCGTAACGGGATCGATTAAAGAAAAATATACATTTAATTTCTACTACAATTTGCTGTTTATTTTCGGTAGTTCAATCAACAATCCAAGTGATTATACTATTAATACTTTTGAGTGTCAATTGTTCAATAATAAAATTGAATTGGACTACTGAGACATTTTCTTATAGTTTAATGAATTAAATTATTTCAAAATCGATTTTACGTTTAATACAATGGAGTTTTTTTTTATAGAAAAAGGGTGACAAACGACCACACAGTCCACCTGATGGTAAGTGGATGCTGTGACCCATAGACATGTACATTTAACTTCGGTTAAGAATCAAAATGCAGATGCATTGTCACCGCTGAGGACTAAGATGGAATGCCTCGATTCCAATAAAACGAGTCTCCGGTTCTCCACACTCACCATACGAAACACAGCAGCATTATGCTGCTATTTTATCAGTGATTTTTTTTGTTTTGTTTTAGTGATTATTCTGTGATAGCGTGGTCCTTCCCCGGTCGAGCAGAGCTGACCTATTCGTGCTACAACCACAATTTAATATTATATATATATAACACTGATAATAATTGCTAATCATGAGGCTTCCAGTACGAACTCCAGATTGGGCCAAAGTTAGTTATTTGATTTTCTTTTAAGAAACGGGGTTGTCGCACGGAGTTGAACGTCTATAGTCACGCCCACCGCGTTGCCACGAACCCAGGGCGGTGGTGAAGGTTTTACCTGATGCATGCAAGGTCCGTGCCTCAAAAGTCCATTGTGGTAAGGTATTCACGGCCTATTTAAGAAATAGCCTTTCCTTTCCAGTCGAAGGAAGGGACTCGAACGCTATTTACCCTTTTTGGCTGGCATCGGCAGAGAAAGACAACCATCCGTTTTAGTTGGTTGCTTCGGATTGATGCTTCGGATTACAGTACCTCTGCTGTACAGGTACCAGACGGCTGGTTCGGGGCGAGCTACAGTTTCCAGCTACAAATCAAGATAGAAAACGAAATTAGGGAAAGTAAAGTAGAAGTTAGAAAAATAATGATTTCACTACTTTTCTAACTTCGGTATCACATTTCCAAGAGGCATTTACGAACAATCACTGCTTTATTTAAAGACATCTTCAGTGTCCACCCTAAAAGTAGGGAAGTAAGAACCTAAAAAAACTTTTACAATCACTTCGTTTCCAGCGGTATGATATTCCACATGTCCCGTCAGTCTCGTTTTAGTAAAAAGGGTCTCCGTTTCAGTCACCATAAGATACACACGAGCATTGTGTAGCATTGCATAGCATTACTGTTCAGGAACAAGGGCTTCGGGGAATCAATCGCGGAAATTTATGAAGCTTTTTTTTACTTTTAATCATTTATTTAATTTTAATCGTTTAACTTTATTTCTATCGATTAAAAATCGTGTTAAGTTCAGGTGCATCGGGTAGAGATCGCGGAGATTTAATGGCGGTAACAGTGAAACAGATATTTAATTACTTTTTCGTCGGCTTTTTACAACAATTGCTTTTTCTTCGTTACAAAATCTGTCACTAGATGGAGTCAGTAGTCGCCTGCGATGATAACGTTTTTTCAGGAGGTCGATGGAAATTGTCAGCGTTGGTTTAATAGGTTGTCTTAGGAGAAACTTAGTTTTTTCCGTTTTAGAAGTGAAATCAAGGGCCATTGTGGTAATAATAACGAAAACATTGTACATACAATGAATAAGCAGTTACTAACTAAAAGAAAGCTGAAATTATTTTTTAAGAATAACATTACGAATAACATTAAGAATAACATAACTCTTCGCCATAGTATTCAATATTATTTGTTAACACCATCTCAATTTCGTAAAACAACCAATGAAGGTACTTAAAGTAATCAATCCACTGCTCGTAAAAACTTGAAAGTTGTGAATGAAAGTAGCTTAATTCAACTTTTTCAACAACAGTTAGACCATTATATTAAATGACGTTGTTTCTAAAGAGTATTTCTAAATTTTTTGTTTATTTTTTGGAGAAAAGACTATTTAAAATATAACTATAAATTACTTTTTGAGAATAAAACACTTGAGTCTAATATCCAATTTTTATTTCAGCATTTAGAATTTTGTTTACATAGTGCAGTGCAATATAAACTGATTTAATTATAAACACGTTACGAAACACTTATATAAAGAAAGGCTTTTGAATTCTAATATTATATTTAATTGTGGGGCTCCATGGAGTGCATGAGGAAAGAACAAACATTCAAATAAAAATAACTTGTTTAATATTAATAAAAATGAAATACTATATAGTATAATAATTTTTCATACATGTCTTCAATTACTCACATTTATGGACAAATTTCATTGCAAGTTACATTGATCTAGCGGCAGAGTTATCGTATATATAAATATACCTAGTTTGAGGAGCACCTCCCGCCTTGCCTCAATTGCGTGCACTAATCCCGTCATAACTAATCCCAGCACTACTACTCCTAACACCACTACTCCCAACACCACTATTCTAGGAAAGACACACCATCGATGATAATTTCGACGACGTTTTTCTCCTCTAACTTAGCGGTCAGCGCCATGAAGCCGTCCCGCAGTATGGCGTCGAGCTGCGCGTCGACGCGCTCGCGCAGTGCGTAGGGCACCGGCCGTGCGCGGTGGTGGCGCCGCACCGTCCCGCACCCGCAACGTCGCTTTGCCACCCGTGAACCGCCCGAGCCCGCCGCTAAAATAGTTCCTTATACCTAGAAAATATTTTTTTATTTCATTTGACATAGACCCTTACTCTATCGATAAATGGTGACAATTACTACTAAATGCTGGAATTGTTATGCCTAATTCCGTTAACCATTGTTTGCCGAGTAATGATGTAGTGCCCTCGTCTATAACAAATAATTTTAATCGTGTGGTTCGGCCCCCATAGCGGAGGACCGGCTTAATTATACCTAAAGGGTTTATTCTGGAGCCATTATAACAGTTTAACACTATTTTATTTACTTATTTATTTATTCTTTTTTGTATACCACAATACAGAAACATCAAGTACAGTTAAACTAAATTAAAGTATGTACAATAGGACGTCTTATCACTCTGAGAGTGATTTCTTCTAGACAACCTTTGCGTAGAGATATGATGCAAACAAAAGTTAAAATAGAGGGGGGGCATACAAAATAATAATAAAAAATATAATAATACATACAAATAAAGATAAGTGAGAATTATATAAGTATAAAATATCATATAATAGATTAAATGAAAAGAGTACGAGAAAGGTAAAGTAATTTATCTAATAGCGTTCTAAATAATACGATTTAACAAGACTTTTGAAAGAGTGAAGAGATTTAGCACGATGAATATGGAGAAGTAAGGAGTTCCACAATCGCACAGCGGTTACGGTGGAGGATTTCTTGAAAAAAGGAAGAAGAGTGCAAAGATGTAGAGAGAGAAAGATTGACGGAGGATCGAAGGAACCGATTATGTTACACGATTTTACTATTTTTAATTGGATGATGGTTAAAATACTTCAACATAGGTTTGACTATTAATACATGACACAGCCGCACCCGTGTCCACTGCCATTTTAATTGTTTTATTGTCAATTATAATGGGTAAACTCACCGGTTGGTGGTCGTTTAGGCATAGATGGTGGAAGTCTGCCTCCGGTACTTCTTCGTTTTCGACTGCTGCTTCCGCCCCGCTATAGTGTAGTGGGCCGCCGTTTGTTTTCTCCATGTCTTACCGGCTGCGTCTGGGCACACGCGTCGCAGGTGGCCGGGCGCCTGCACATGCTGCATATATATTCCCGGAAACGACAGTTCAAATACTCATGATCGGTCGCTCCGCAGCCTCCGCAATCGAACCGACGACCCCCAGCGTCACTGGCAGAATTCGTGCAGCTGCTACTGCGCGTGCGCACCGTACCGCGCGCCTCGCCCGCGCCGCTTCTCGCCGATGCTCCGACGATCCGCGCTCCCGCGCTGCCCCTGCGCCGCACCCGCTCCCCGCGTTGCCACGCCCCGCCACGTGTGAGCGCATGCGCCGTCGTCGATTCCTGAATCCTGGTATCCTTCCCCGCTGTAGTAGCACCTTCCACTGCAGCCGGGTTCCGCTCCGCTGCTTCGAGAGAGGTTGCAGTTTTGACTGCGCTGATGTATGGTAGCGAATCATTCTCCGCGAACAACTGTTGTCTAATGACGTCGCTTTGCAGCCCGCAAGGAAATTGATCTCGTAAGTTATAATTAAGAGCCTCCTTAAACTTAAAATGACGTGCCAGCT